TCTTCTCGTGTTTGTTTCCCGAGAAATTGGACAGAAAATTATCATCTCTTCCGCGGAAGAAATTGTCTCCTAAAGATTGTCGTTTTTTAAGTCTTCAAAGAATTTGATAACGATAAATTGAACTTTTACATTGGAATTGGTGCAAAAAGGAAGATGATCAGCCCTTGAATCTCACTTGGGAAGGAAAATTTTTTTAAAGATTTTCTTTCTTAAGGATTTTGGTAACGATAAAGTTGAAAATTTCCAGGACTATTGGTGTAAACAGGAACATGGAAAGCGTTCGATATTCTATGATTTATTTTTATTTTTTTTAGTTTTTCTGCGCTTGTTTGATTTCTGACAACTATGTTTCTTTAGGGTTTTAGTTACAAGAACATTGAAATTTTCCATGGATATCGGTCCAAGTTTCTCTGGGTTTCATTTTTCTTTTTTCTGCAATTATGCTGTTTGCTTCCTAAGAAAGTGTCGGAAAGAATTTCTGCCAAAATAGGTTTTAGTTACAAGAAAATTGAAAACTTTCCATGTTTTTTGTTGTAAACAGGAAGATGAGAAGACCTTAAGCGCTGATAATGAAATTGATTCTGTGATTGTTACGAAGGTGGTAAAAAAAGTAAGGTTTAGTCCTGAAAATGAAACTTTCATATTTGTGGGTACGGATGTAGAGGAGTCAGACTCAAATTACGATTCGAAAAAGAAACGCCGGAGAAAGAGGAAATCAATAGCAGGGAAGAAGGCGGGTAAAAGGAAAAGAGCACAAAGTACTAATGTTGTAGTTGAAGAAAATTCGGAGAAGAGAGTTAGCAGGGGAAAGGAAAATGTAGATAAATCTAGGAGAAAGTCAATTAGGCTACAGTTGACAAGCGAGAAGAGTTTAGGGACTTTTGAGGATAATGAAGTCGGGAATCAGGCTAAACCCGAAAAGGCCCTTGAGAATTCAAAAGGGAAAATGAAAAAGAAAAAGAAGTCAAGTGCTTTGACTGAGGATTTAGGACTAATTGGTGATCATTGTAGTAGGATTACAAGGGCTCGAACTTGGGCTAACGGGAGTAATTATGCAGTTGATAATGACAGTGAATGTGGAGTAGTTTTGGAGATTCAGGAAGAATGCCCAAGTGTTGTTCTTCAACTTGAAGAACCTCCCAAAGGTTTACGCAAGAAGGGAAGGGTGGTAAGTGAAATTATTGCTGGTGAATGTATTGATCAGGGAACGGTATTGAAGGAGTCCAGGAAGCGATCTAAAAAGATGGAATCAGAAGAGGTTTCTGAAATCGAACCGAATGTTGATGGAAAGAAACAATCTCTTTATCAAGGCCCTTCAAGGAGGACCAAGCATAGTACTAGATTGTTTAGCCTTGATGAGCAGTTAACAACTCATGAAATTGGAGGAAGGATGAGTGTGATAAGAGAAGCACCAGCTGATGTAGCTAAACCTACAAGGCGGTCTACTCGTAAAAAGATGGAATCAGAAGAGGTTTTTGAAATAGAATTGAATGTTGCTGGAAAGAAACATTTTCTTCATGAAGGCCCTTCGAGGAGGACCCGACGTAGTACTAGATTGTTTAGCATTGATGAGCGGTTAAAAACTCATGAAACTGAAGGAACGATGAGCGCGATAGGAGAAGCACCAGCTGATGTAGCTAAACTTACAAGGCGGTCTACTCGTAAAAAGATGGAATCAGAAGAGGTTTTTGAAATAGAATCAAATATTGATGGAAAGAAACAATCTCTTCATGAAGGCACTTCGAAGAGGACCCGGCGTAGTACTAGATTGTCTAGCGTTGATGAGCAGTTAACAACTCATGAAACTGAAGGAAGGATGAGCGCGATAAGAGAAGCACCAGCTGATGTGGCTAAACCTACAAGGCGGTCTACTCGTAATGCTTCCAGGCAAGTTTCAATTGAAACCTCCAACAAATTGGGTGAAATTGCTGAAGGCATTGGAAAGTATGGGCGAACAAAGCGAAGACAAGAGCCGGTTTTGAACGAGCAGAGTTCTGTGGTTTCTCAGGAACCTATAAATGAAATGCCTGCGAGACGATCTGTAGGTAATATTTCTAAAAAAATTGCGGTTGAATGGAAGGAACTGACAAGCAGGGAAGTTGAAAAGAATGAGAACATTCAGGAATCATCAGTTATGGACGCCGGATTTGCCCCGCCAGAAGCTCCAGAAAGCAAAACAGATCCTGCTTTGTGCAGCAATTTCACCTCTAACAAAATGAGTGAAATTGCTGAAGGCATTGGAAAGTATGAGCGAAGAAAGCGAAGACAAGAGCCGGTTTTGAACGAGCAGAGTTCTGTGGTCGCTCAGGAACCTGTTAATGTGAAGCCCGCGAGACGATCTGTACGTAATATCTCCAAAAGAAATGCAGTTGAACAGAAGGAGCTGACAAGCAGCAAAGCTGAAAAGAATGAGGCCCTTCAGGAGTCACCAGTTGGAGATGTCGGGTTTGCCATGCCAGAAGCTCCAGAAAGAAAAACTGATCCTGCTTTGCATAGTAACCAAGAAGTTACAGAAATGTTTAGTGGGAAAAGGAAGCAGTTTAGAAGGAATTCTGTTGTGAGGAGCCAATTAGATACCATTCCAGAGTCTGCTGTAAACGAGGAAGTCACTGATGTTGTGTTGAACCTGGATTCTGTTGTTGACACCACTGTTGTGGAGAAGGAAAGTAGCATAGTTGAAGAGTATGAAGAAAATTCGCTTGATAAGAATTTAGAGACTACTGCGGACGATCATTTGCGCAACTTGCTGAGTACAAATAGCAACTCTAGTAATGGTAAATCTGATGAAGCAGAGGAGTGCCCAAGTAAGCTTACCAATGTAGGTTCAATCACCTCGAATGATGGTTTCTCATCCATTCTTCAAGAAGATTCTGAAGGTAAAGTTAATTTTCTTCTTGCCTGATCGTGGTATTTTTACATTTTTCGGGTGTTTGCTAATGGGTTGTCTTTGAACTGTAGGTGAATGCTCCAACCCCTTGAACGTTAATGAGGGACTGGAAAGTGATGAATCTATGATGGGCAAAAGCATCAACCTTCAAAGTGATGAGTTGGATGACAAAGCTAATAATGTCCAAGAGGATCATCAGGACTTGGAAAAATATGATCCATGTTGGAATCCAGATCGAGTTCAAGACCATCTAAGTGATGTTAGGGAAAGTCAACAGCTAGTAAACAACGAAGAGAACTGGTCTCAGGAAGCTGAAAAGTTATGTACAGTTCTTCCTTATGACATTTCAAAAGAAAGGCTTGAGGAAAACCATTATGAAATTGCCACCGGCAACACAACTGTCCTACTTCCATCTACATTTGTGCCAGAAAGTCAAGGTGTGCAGAATTCCTTTTTTTTTTTTTCCGTAATATTATTTTTAGAATTTGAAAGCATTTAATTGAACTCTTTTATATATATATATATATATATATTATAAAGC